TTCCCTGCCCTTCACCACCTTCCCTGCCCTTCACCACCTTCCCTGCCCTTCACCACCTTCCCACCTTCCCTGCCCTTCACCACCTTCCCTGCCCTTCACCACCTTCCCTGCCCTTCACCACCTTCCCTGCCCTTCACCACCTTCCCTGCCCTTCACCACCTTCCCTGCCCTTCACCACCTTCCCTGCCCTTCACCACCTTCCCTGCCCTTCACCACCTTCCCTGCCCTTCACCACCTTCCCTGCCCTTCACCACCTTCCCTGCCCTTCACCACCTTCCCTGCCCTTCATTACCCCCTGCCCTTCACCACCTTCCCTGCCCTTCACCACCTTCCCTGCCCTTCACCACCTTCCCTGCCCTTCACCACCTTCCCTGCCCTTCACCACCTTCCCTGCCCTTCACCACCTTCCCTGCCCTTCACCACCTTCCCTGCCCTTCACCACCTTCCCTGCCCTTCACCACCTTCCCTGCCCTTCACCACCTTCCCTGCCCTTCACCACCTTCCCTGCCCTTCACCACCTTCCCTGCCCTTCACCACCTTCCCTGCCCTTCACCACCTTCCCTGCCCTTCACCACCTTCCCTGCCCTTCACCACCTTCCCTGCCCTTCACCACCTTCCCTGCCCTTCACCACCTTCCCTGCCCTTCACCACCTTCCCTGCCCTTCACCACCTTCCCTGCCCTTCACCACCTTCCCTGCCCTTCACCACCTTCCCTGCCCTTCACCACCTTCCCTGCCCTTCACCACCTTCCCTGCCCTTCACCACCTTCCCTGCCCTTCACCACCTTCCCTGCCCTTCACCACCTTCCCTGCCCTTCACCACCTTCCCTGCCCTTCACCACCTTCCCTGCCCTTCACCACCTTCCCTGCCCTTCACCACCTTCCCTGCCCTTCACCACCTTCCCTGCCCTTCACCACCTTCCCTGCCCTTCACCACCTTCCCTGCCCTTCACCACCTTCCCTGCCCTTCACCACCTTCCCTGCCCTTCACCACCTTCCCTGCCCTTCACCACCTTCCCTGCCCTTCACCACCTTCCCTGCCCTTCACCACCTTCCCTGCCCTTCACCACCTTCCCTGCCCTTCACCACCTTCCCTGCCCTTCACCACCTTCCCTGCCCTTCACCACCTTCCCTGCCCTTCACCACCTTCCCTGCCCTTCACCACCTTCCCTGCCCTTCACCACCTTCCCTGCCCTTCACCACCTTCCCTGCCCTTCACCACCTTCCCTGCCCTTCACCACCTTCCCTGCCCTTCACCACCTTCCCTGCCCTTCATTACCTTCCCTGCCCTTCATTACCTTCCCTGCCCTTCACCACCTTCCCTGCCCTTCACCACCTTCCCTGCCCTTCACCACCTTCCCTGCCCTTCACCACCTTCCCTGCCCTTCACCACCTTCCCTGCCCTTCACCACCTTCCCTGCCCTTCACCACCTTCCCTGCCCTTCATTACCTTCCCTGCCCTTCATTACCTTCCCTGCCCTTCACCACCTTCCCTGCCCTTCACCACCTTCCCTGCCCTTCACCACCTTCCCTGCCCTTCACCACCTTCCCTGCCCTTCACCACCTTCCCTGCCCTTCACCACCTTCCCTGCCCTTCACCACCTTCCCTGCCCTTCACCACCTTCCCTGCCCTTCACCACCTTCCCTGCCCTTCACCACCTTCCCTGCCCTTCACCACCTTCCCTGCCCTTCATTACCTTCCCTGCCCTTCACCACCTTCCCAACCCTTCACCACCTTCCCTGCCCTTCACCACCTTCCCTGCCCTTCACCACCTTCCCTACCCTTCACCACCTTCCCTGCCCTTCACCACCTTCCCTGCCCTTCACCACCTTCCCTGCCCTTCACCACCTTCCCTGCCCTTCACCACCTTCCCTGCCCTTCACCACCTTCCCTGCCCTTCACCACCTTCCCTGCCCTTCACCACCTTCCCTGCCCTTCACCACCTTCCCTGCCCTTCACCACCTTCCCTGCCCTTCACCACCTTCCCTGCCCTTCACCACCTTCCCTGCCCTTCACCACCTTCCCTGCCCTTCACCACCTTCCCTGCCCTTCACCACCTTCCCTGCCCTTCACCACCTTCCCTGCCCTTCACCACCTTCCCTGCCCTTCACCACCTTCCCTGCCCTTCACCACCTTCCCTGCCCTTCACCACCTTCCCTGCCCTTCACCACCTTCCCTGCCCTTCACCACCTTCCCTGCCCTTCACCACCTTCCCTGCCCTTCATTACCTTCCCTGCCCTTCACCACCTTCCCTGCCCTTCACCACCTTCCCTGCCCTTCACCACCTTCCCTGCCCTTCACCACCTTCCCTGCCCTTCACCACCTTCCCTGCCCTTCACCACCTTCCCTGCCCTTCACCACCTTCCCTGCCCTTCACCACCTTCCCTGCCCTTCACCACCTTCCCTGCCCTTCACCACCTTCCCTGCCCTTCACCACCTTCCCTGCCCTTCACCACCTTCCCTGCCCTTCATTACCTTCCCTGCCCTTCACCTTCCCTGCCCTTCATTACCTTCCCTGCCCTTCACCACCTTCCATGCCCTTCACCACCTTCCCTGCCCTTCACCACCTTCCCTGCCCTTCACCACCTTCCCTGCCCTTCACCACCTTCCCTGCCCTTCACCACCTTCCCTGCCCTTCACCACCTTCCCTGCCCTTCACCACCTTCCCTGCCCTTCACCACCTTCCCTGCCCTTCACCACCTTCCCTGCCCTTCACCACCTTCCCAACCCTTCACCACCTTCCCTGCCCTTCACCACCTTCCCTGCCCTTCACCACCTTCCCTGCCCTTCACCACCTTCCCTGCCCTTCATTACCTTCCCTGCCCTTCACCACCTTCCCTGCCCTTCACCACCTTCCCTGCCCTTCACCACCTTCCCTGCCCTTCACCACCTTCCCTGCCCTTCACCACCTTCCCAACCCTTCACCACCTTCCCTGCCCTTCATTACCTTCCCTGCCCTTCACCACCTTCCCTGCCCTTCACCACCTTCCCAACCCTTCACCACCTTCCCTGCCCTTCACCACCTTCCCTGCCCTTCACCACCTTCCCTGCCCTTCATTACCTTCCCTGCCCTTCACCACCTTCCCTGCCCTTCACCACCTTCCCTGCCCTTCACCACCTTCCCTGCCCTTCACCACCTTCCCTGCCCTTCACCACCTTCCCTGCCCTTCACCACCTTCCCTGCCCTTCTCCACCTTCCCTGCCCTTCACCACCTTCCCAACCCTTCACCACCTTCCCTGCCCTTCACCACCTTCCCAACCCTTCACCACCTTCCCTGCCCTTCATTACCTTCCCTGCCCTTCACCACCTTCCCTGTCCTTCACCACCTTCCCTGCCCTTCACCACCTTCCCTGCCCTTCACCACCTTCCCTGCCCTTCACCACCTTCCCTGCCCTTCACCACCTTCCCTGCCCTTCACCACCTTCCCTGCCCTTCACCACCTTCCCTGCCCTTCACCACCTTCCCTGCCCTTCACCACCTTCCCAACCCTTCACCACCTTCCCTGCCCTTCACCACCTTCCCTGCCCTTCACCACCTTCCCTGCCCTTCACCGCCTTCCCTGCCCTTCATTACCTTCCCTGCCCTTCACCACCTTCCCTGCCCTTCACCACCTTCCCTGCCCTTCACCACCTTCCCTGCCCTTCACCACCTTCCCTGCCCTTCACCACCTTCCCTGCCCTTCACCACCTTCCCTGCCCTTCACCACCTTCCCTGCCCTTCTCCACCTTCCCTGCCCTTCACCACCTTCCCTGCCCTTCACCACCTTCCCTGCCCTTCACCACCTTCCCTGCCCTTCACCACCTTCCCTGCCCTTCACCACCTTCCCTGCCCTTCACCACCTTCCCTGCCCTTCACCACCTTCCCTGCCCTTCACCACCTTCCCTGCCCTTCACCACCTTCCCTGCCCTTCACCACCTTCCCTGCCCTTCACAACCTTCCCTGCCCTTCACCACCTTCCCTGCCCTTCACCACCTTCCCTGCCCTTCACCACCTTCCCTGCCCTTCATTACCTTCCCTGCCCTTCACCACCTTCCCTGCCCTTCACCACCTTCCCTGCCCTTCACCACCTTCCCTGCCCTTCACCACCTTCCCAACCCTTCACCACCTTCCCTGCCCTTCACCACCTTCCCTGCCCTTCACCACCTTCCCTGCCCTTCACCACCTTCCCTGCCCTTCATTACCTTCCCTGCCCTTCACCACCTTCCCTGCCCTTCATTACCTTCCCTGCCCTTCACACCTTCCCTGCCCTTCACCACCTTCCCTGCCCTTCATTACCTTCCCTGCCCTTCACCACCTTCCCTGCCCTTCACCACCTTCCCTGCCCTTCACCACCTTCCCTGCCCTTCACCACCTTCCCTGCCCTTCATTACCTTCCCTGCCCTTCACCACCTTCCCTGCCCTTCACCACCTTCTCTGCCCTTCACCACCTTCCCTGCCCTTCACCACCTTCCCTGCCCTTCACCACCTTCCCAACCCTTCACCACCTTCCCTGCCCTTCATTACCTTCCCTGCCCTTCACCACCTTCCCTGCCCTTCACCACCTTCCCTGCCCTTCACCACCTTCCCTGCCCTTCACCACCTTCCCTGCCCTTCACCACCTTCCCTGCCCTTCACCACCTTCCCTTCTTCACCACTTTCGTATCATCCTTGTAAATTTAGCAAGGATGGATTCTTTGTTTAGCAAGATGGGAAATTAGTATGATTTGCCGTCTCATGCAAAGGTCGTGCATGGGAGCTTGATCCCGACCACCTATGACAATCCCCTCACACAAGACCTGTCACCATGCAAAGTTTGGCGAGGCTAGCCGCAAGCGTCTGCTCGCAACCTGGAACAGATATTCTCTCTTATATTCCTTTAAACATGCCTGATTTTCCTGTCTAAAGCAGCTGAAAGGTATAATATATATATTCTATATAATGGAGTATATATTCTCTTAATGGGTTTGATTTATTTGATTTTTCTATCCATTTATAAACTACATCTTGACTTCTCCCGTAGGAGGACGAGGACGAGGAGAGTGAGGCGCAGCGCGGCGCCTCCCCGGTGCGCAGGCGCAGCAGCAACGCCCTGGGCGGCGGGTCGTCGTCGCCGGGTCGTCATGGCGGCCGGCGACGGCGGGAAGAGCTCAGCCCAGGGCTTGTGTGTACCATCAAGCGCGTCCACCTGCGGGACCCCGCCTGCGACCTGGGGGTCAGCGTCTGGCGAGGACGGGGCCCTCAGCGGGGCCTGCAGGGGCCACAGAGGCCCCCTGTGGGTACCGGGCCAGCGCTCCTGGTGGAGGGGCCTGAGAGTGGGTCAGTAAATCCATTTGTGTGTCGGTCAGTCAGTTAGGCAACGATATAATTAGTCGTTCAACCAATCAGTCGTCAAGGCATAATACCATACGAGGTTTAGCATCATGTTAGTGCATAAGAACAATGGTAGTGGCATGGTTCAGCTGTGTGTATTAGGAATGATGACTGATTTGTCTCGCTAAAGTACGCCGTAGCATCTTCAGAGGCAGAGGGATATATAAACGGGTAAAGACAACAGTAAATGTTCCATGTGCGTATGTGACATTGAGGTCAATCTTGTCCTAAAATCTTTCCTCACGTCATTTTCTCTGTGTTCTAGAGGCAGGTATCCTCTTTTCAGTCCTACCACTTGTCCTGCTCTGTCTGTCTTCTTGTCCAAGGTGTATAGGAGTCTGATGTGTATATAGGAGTAATATACACTTCAGTGTATATTACATTTCAGTATATATATATATATATATATATATATATATATATATATATATATATATATATATATATATATATATATATATATATATATATATTTGTCTTCTTTGTATTAATTACCAGTTTCGAATGTTTTATTTTCTCTCTGTAACTCCTACACGGCATCTTTCTTTTCGTCTATACGTTATTAATCCATGTATTTTTGTCCACACAATTATCTAATGGATAAGATGGACTTGTCGTGGGCAGCTGTCCGTCTCAGGATTACATGCTCCTTCATGCTCTTAATTGTCGTGTTTCTTTTATCATTCTGTCGTTGTACTTCCCAAAAGAAATCATTATTTTCTATATAGAGCTTTTTTGTTAACGGTTTGACCGGTTAAATATTGAAGCAATACAGTTCAGTGCATGAAAATGAAGACACATGAGGAATTACAAAGCAACAGAGAGCAAAGGGAGATACCAAGAGTAAAGGGAGATACCAAGAGCAAAGGGAGATACCAAAAGTAAAGGGAGATACTAAGAGCAAAGGGAGATACCAAGAGCAAAGGGAGATATCAAAAGCAAAAGGAGATATCAAAAGCAAAGGGAGATACCAGAGTGCAAGGAATGAGTACTTGAGAATAAAGACTACATAGCAGATGAAACAAAGATCCAAGTCAAGCTGCTTCACGATCACATCATGCAGAAAACAACAGTACGGGAACAAGTGACGAAACTGGACATAGGAGTACATGCTCACAGAGAACGCTAGAGAAGTGTGTGAGGAATTCAACTACACATATTCAGAAAGTTTTCACAATGAAGCAAGGAAGAATGTCTGAACTGAAGGAGACGGTAAGGTCAACCAGGCCGCACTGAAGAATTTTATGATTGCCTGAGATGAGTTAAGGAGCCATCTGCTAGAACTGGACACGGTAAAGGCAATTGGACAAGAGTAATTCTTACCATTGATATTAAAAGAACAAGCAGAAGGCCTCTGATGGCCACATTTTCTGATGGGCGAGGAGTTACTGAAATCAGAAGACCTACGAGAAATGTTTGAAGATAGCCACTAAAGTGTTTATATAGAAGAAGGTATGTCGATAGAAGGCACCATATTTAACTTGCATCCTGTACACATTTGTTAGAAAGTGGCTAAACTCATGTTTGGGAGAAGTTACTTTATAATACACCATTAGCATGGGCTCAGGATGGTACCTCTTGCTTTGCAAACCTAATATTCTGCGACAAGGTGACATAAACTAGACAAGACAGAGGAAGATGGGTATATTGCTTATTTTTGGTCAAAAAACCTTCGACACATTATTCCACAAGAGGCAAGAATGAGCCTCATTGCATATCTTGAAAAATGTTCTACTTTTAACGTATTTTATTCAGCTGAGGGTTTCATGTTGGGGATGCATATTGAAGAGTGGGTCTCACGTTTGATGAGTATAGGGCCCACCAGGGTTTTCTCTCCATATTTCCATCATTGGACTGAAGCTATGTCTGCTCCCAAGGGCATTCTCCCTTTCTTCGTCATTTACTGCTGTACAGTTCTTCATACTCCTGGTCTAAGTCTCATTACTTTGCATTTAGATGGGTTAAATTCTAGCAGCCATACTTTGAACCACTTCTGGAGTGTGTCCAGATCCGTTTTCAAGGTAATACAAACTCTCTCTGTTCTGAGTCTTCTCTTTGAATCGTTTGGAAACACTGCTGTAGAGAAGTCAGTTTATGGTGTCAGATCATTTACATATATTAGAAAGAGAATGGGTCCAAGAACTGACCTTTCAGGAGCCGTAAAGGTAACCTTTCTCCACTCTCATTGTATCCCTCTGCTTACTGCTTAAGAGGAACTCTTTCACCTAAACTAGCATTCTTCCTGATGCACCAGCCTGTTGTTGCTGCTGCTTCTCCGCCGCGAGTAAAAGTCTTCCACACTGTGAGTGACAGCCCCAGCACAGTGACACCCCTCAGACCGTGAGTGACAGACTCAGCACCGTGAGTGACAGTCCAAGCACCGTGAGTGGCACCCCCAGCACCGTGAGTGGCACCCCCAGCACCGTGAGTGGCACCCCCAGCACCGTGAGTGACAGCCCCAACATGGTAAAGGAGGGATTACGTCCCGCCCGTGGGTGAGATTGGAGATATCGTTAAGGATTAGACTTCCCGGGTGTCACCTCCTACCACACACCTCCCACCACACACCTGCAACCACACACCTGCAACCACAGCTGTTGTGTGGTGCCGGGGCAGTTTTTCTTTTATTATTATTTTTCTACCACAGACGTGGCCAGATATTCACAATGCTAACCAGCATATATACATTTTCTTCTGTCCTCCATGGACAGGGTGAGAGATCTGTTAACCATATAGTTCAGGGATTTATTGAACACTCAACCGCAGAAGGTGATTGTAGTGCTTTTAAAATGCTAATCTAACCTACAGACATAAATACATAGATATACAGAGTTACGTCTGGCCTACATAGAGTGGTCGATGTGTTCTTTACATAGTGTCATTAATGTGCATTTACAAAGGTGAAATGTAATTCTGATCAGCTTCCACATATACTTTATACACATACATGCATATACATACGCATACACACACACACACATTATATATATATATATATATATATATATATATATATATATATATATATATATATATATATATATATATATATATGCGGAAAATCCACAGAGAAATATGAAATGAGGTGAACGTTTCGGCTCTGTTTAAGCCTTTGTCAACACCAGACTGACACTGTCAGTCTGTCTGGTGTTGACAAAGGCTTAAACAGAGCCGAAACGTTCACCTCATTTCATATTTCTCTGTGGATTTTCCGCATAAAATGATCAGTGTTTTGTGATCGTCAATTGCATATATATATATATATATATATATATATATATATATATATATATATATATATATATATATATATATATATATATATATATATATATATATATATGTGTTTGTGTGTGTGTGTGTGTACTCACCTAGTTGTACTCACCTAGTTGTGTTTGCGGGGGTTGAGCTCTGGCTCTTTGGTCCCGCCTCTCAACCGTCAATCAACAGGTGTACAGATTCATGAGCCTATCGGGCTCTGTCATATCTACACTTGAAACTGTGTATGGAGTCAGCCTCCACCACATCACTTCCTAATGCATTCCATTTGTCAACCACTCTGACACTAAAAAAGTTCTTTCTAATATCTCTGTGGCTCATTTGGGCACTCAGTTTCCACCTGTGTCCCCTTGTGCGTGTTCCCCTTGTGTTAAATAGACCGTCTTTATCTACCCTATCAATCCCCTTCAGAATCTTGAATGTGGTGATCATGTCCCCCCTAACTCTTCTGTCTTCCAGCGAAGTGAGGTTTAATTCCCGTAGTCTCTCCTCGTAGCTCATACCTCTCAGCTCGGGTACTAGTCTGGTGGCAAACCTTTGAACCTTTTCCAGTTTAGTCTTATCCTTGACTAGATATGGACTCCATGCTGGGGCTGCATACTCCAGGATTGGCCTGACATATGTGGTATACAAAGTTCTGAATGATTCTTTACACAAGTTTCTGAATGCCGTTCGTATGTTGGCCAGCCTGGCATATGCCGCTGATGTTATCCGCTTGATATGTGCTGCAGGAGACAGGTCTGGCGTGATATCAACCCCCAAGTCTTTTTCCTTCTCTGACTCCTGAAGAATTTCCTCTCCCAGATGATACCTTGTATCTGGCCTCCTGCTCCCTACACCTATCTTCATTACATTACATTTGGTTGGGTTAAACTCTAACAACCATTTGTTCGACCATTCCTTCAGCTTGTCTAGGTCTTCTTGAAGCCTCAAACAGTCCTCTTCTGTTTTAATCCTTCTCATAATTTTAGCATCGTCCGCAAACATTGAGAGAAATGAATCGATACCCTCCGGGAGATCATTTACATATATCAGAAACAAGATAGGACCGAGTACAGAGCCCTGTGGGACTCCACTGGTGACTTCACGCCAATCGGAGGTCTCACCCCTCACCGTAACTCTCTGCTTCCTATTGCTTAGATACTCCCTTATCCACTGGAGCACCTTACCAGCTACACCTGCCTGTCTCCTGTGTGTGTGTGTGTTGTGTGTGTGTGTGTGTGTATCACGAAAATAAACACGTGATTAAAAATGTGACAGTGTCAGACCACTGAGGAAAATTGAATCAGGAATTTCCTTAAGTACTTTCGTATATTAATACATCTTCAGAAGGAGTCAATACCAACTTGGGGTCGGATATAGAAAAGAGGTTATAACATCCAGAACCCGGTTACTGGCCCACAGTGGCAGTAAGAATCAAGTGTTCCGGTATTCATATAGTAATTAGAGTTCAGCATACCTCAGCCCAGGAGGACAACCCATCGTCCGAATTGACAGTATGGTTTAATGTTAAGTGTAATAAGTACATTTCCTTATTGTCATACATAGTACATAATTGCACTTATGGGGCTGTTACATCTACCTTCCCGTTTATTCTCCTCGTTTTCTGTTAAGACTCATAATTTTAGGATGACGTTTTCAAGATAAATATAGCATACACAAGTTTTAAATATCAGGAATTTCTTTTTCAGTTTTATTTAAAAATAGAGATTTTATACAAAATTTGAAAATATCCTGAGTTATTTTACATTTTATTGATATATTTTAGTTTTGTTTTACTAGTTTTATAAAACTGTGTAATATAAATATAGCTATACGTTTAGTACTAATTGTAATTAAGAAGCAATAAAATGTTTATCTTCAAACTCTAAGAAAGTTAGGTTAGGTCATGGTTTTCTATTCAGCTTTTCAGGTAAACTCAAATAGTCACAATATATTTGACTACGATTTAATACTAAGTGAAAATGAGTAAAATTCCTGACTGCTATGAATAGTATGTAATTGCACTTGTGCTGTTACATTTACCTCCCCATCTTTGGAGGACGGGCTGGCTGGAGCAGTGGTTTGGGCATGGATAGTATTTGTGCTTGAATGAGCAACATTTCCTCTTACAAAGAACGGCGCTTTTCGCTCGTATGCGTTACATAAGGCCAAAAATTCTCTTACTTGAAAATGGAGGCTGGCGAAAATGTCGTACTGTCCCGTTTTCTGTTTTAGGTCTTCTGGTAGATTAGTAGCGACACCTTTAAATATAATTTTATTTATTTATTTATTTATTTATTTATTTATTTATTTATTTATTTATATACAAGTTACATTGGGGGTTAACAGAACATAGAAATTAAGTTCATTTTACATTCTTGTAAAGCCACTGGCATGCATAGCGTTTCGGGCAAGTCCTTAAACTAACAGATAAATTTTAGATAATTCACAGTAAAATTGACAATGTTTACAGGTACTTTACAGCTTTACTTTACAGGTACAGATAATTTTAAGTAGAATAATTACAGTAAAATTGTCAATACCGTTCTCTTTATGTTGGGAAACCTTATGAGGACGGACTGGAATGAGTCGTGGGTGCTGTGACTGGAGTGTTTGGGGAGTGACAAGGAGAGTAGTCAAGCACTGGAGGCCCCCACCAAAAACATATACTTGATGGGACATGATTACATTCTGGCTGCCGTTCGAGAGCTCTTCCGTATATCAGCCTGAAGTTAGACCATGTAGGTGGCTTCCTCCTCTTCTCTCAGTGTAGTGCTTGAGTAATTACTCCAGTCATTTGCGTTTCTTGCTTCCACCAACGTCCTCTTAAAGGTGTTGCAGGGAAGACAGCGTGTGGGGCAGCTGATGGTGTTGGAGGGATTCTCAAAAATTCTCAATCCCATTGATGCCATTTCGAAGAATTGCATTTTAATATATATCTTAAGGGGAAACTTAACTAACTTAAACCCCATTTTGGAGGAGTTTCCCATCAACGTGAGTCTCTCCTTAGAGTGAGTTAGCGGGAGAGTAATGTGAATGTTGGTCCCGTGTTGCAGGGATGCTGGCGACGGCATGGTGGTGGCGGCCGGGTACACGGGAGAGGTTATGTTCCTTCTGCCGCACTCCGTACTCGGGCGCACGGAGCTTGAACCTCGCGCCATCGAGATATTTGTGCAGGTGAGTACCCGTGTCTTGTGGCAACTCCTGGCATGCTCATATTGAAGTGAACATTACATTTAATTTAAAAATGTAAAATTATTATTGTTCAGATATTTCAACAGCCTGGTATTGCAGACTGCTGGAAAATCCAGGAATGGTTCTTCTCCGTCGCAGTGTGTAGGGTTCATCTTGTCTGCAGTTGTACTGGAATATCTTCCAGGATATTTTCCAGGATAACAAATTTTTGACCAATACTACTTATCTTTCCTTACATAATTCACTGTCATTATGGCGGTGTGTTCACTCACAGGATGAGTGACGCTGCCCAATACTGTCACTATGGCGGTGTGTTCACTCACAGGATGAGTGGCGCTGCCCAATACTGTCACTATGGCGGTGTGTCCACTCACAGGATGAGTGGCGCTGCCCAATACTGTCACTATGGCGGTGTGTCCACTCACAGGATGAGTGGCGCTGCCCAATACTGTCACTATGGCGTTGTGTCCACTCACAGGATGAGTGGCGCTGCCCAATACTGTCACTATGGCGGTGTGTCCACTCACAGGTTGAGTGGCGCTGCCCAATACTGTCACTATGGCAGTGTGTCCACTCACAGGATGAGTGACGCTGCCCAATACTGTCACTATGGCGGTGTGTCCACTCACAGGATGAGTGGCGCTGCCCAATACTGTCACTATGGCGGTGTGTCCACTCACAGGATGAGTGGCGCTGCCCAATACTGTCACTATGGCGGTGTGTCCACTCACAGGATGAGTGGCGCTGCCCAATACTGTCACTATGGCGGTGTGTCCACTCACAGGATGAGTGGCGCTGCCCAATACTGTCACTATGGCGGTGTGTCCACTCACAGGATGAGTGGCGCTGCCCAATACTGTCACTATGGCGGTGTGTCCACTCACAGGATGAGTAGCGTTGCCCAATACTGTCACTATGGCGGTGTGTTCACTCACAGGATGAGTCCCGCTGCCCAATACTGTCACTATGGCGGTGTGTTCACTCACAGGATGAGTGGCGCTGCCCAATACTGTCACTATGGTGGTGTGTTCACTCACAGGATGAGTGGCGCTGCCCAATACTGTCACAATGGCGGTGTGTCCACTCACAGGATGAGTGGCGCTGCCCAGTACTGTCACTATGGCGGTGTGTCCACTCACAGGATGAGTGGCGCTGCCCAATACTGTCACTATGGCGGTGTGTCCACTCACAGGATGAGTGGCGTTGCCCAATACTGTCACTATGGCGGTGTGTCCACTCACAGGATGAGTAGCGTTGCCCAATACTGTCACTATGGCGGTGTGTTCACTCACAGGATGAGTCCCGCTGCCCAATACTGTCACTATGGCGGTGTGTTCACTCACAGGATGAGTCCCGCTGCCCAATACTGTCACTATGGCGGTGTGTTCACTCACAGGATGAGTGGCGCTGCCCAATACTGTCACTATGGTGGTGTGTTCACTCACAGGATGAGTGGCGCTGCCCAATACTGTCACTATGGTGGTGTCTTCACTCACAGGATGAGTGGCGCTGCCCAATACTGTCACTTTGGTGGTGTGTTCACTCACAGGATGAGTGGCGCTGCCCAATACTGTCACTATGGTGGTGTGTTCACTCACAGGATGAGTCCCGCTGCCCAATACTGTCACTATGGTGGTGTGTTCACTCACAGGATGAGTCCCGCTGCCCAATACTGTCACTATGGTGGTGTGTTCACTCACAGGATGAGTCCCGCTGCCCAATACATAATATAATAATAATAATAATAATAATAATTTTTATTTAGGTAAGGTACATATATACAATAAATTTTTACAAAGATTGGTTGACTTATAGGTAGAGCTAGTACATGCAATGCCTAAAGCCACTATTACGCAAAGCGTTTCGGGCATGATAAACTTAAATGACAAGCTTAATACTAATTGAGCATAATGAGTAGAATGAAAACAAGAAATGAAAACATAGATGAAAAAGCAGCACAAATACGATTATGTTGACAAACAGCGCTCTTTAAAGAAAAACAGACATTGGTTGACAATAGAAGGGTAAGGTAGGTTACAGGGAATTTATTAGGTATAGCTTCGTTTTTAACTTAAACTGGTTGAGAGAGGTACAGTCTTTAACATGGTTGGGAAGGTCATTCCACATTCTGGGCCCCTTGATTTGTAGAGCATTTCTAGTTTGATTAAGTCGTACTCTAGGAATATCAAAACTGTATTTATTTCTGGTGTGGTGCTCATGGGTTCTGTTACAACCTTCTATGAAGCTTTAGAGATCAGGATTGGCATTATAGTTTAGCGTTTTATATATGTATAATACACATGAGAGAATGTGCAGTGACTTAATGTCTAACATATTCAGAGATTTGAGTAGGGGTACCGAGTGATGTCTGGGGCCAGAATTGGATATTGTCCTAATAGCAACTTTGTGTTGAGTAATTAGAGGACGTAAGTGATTTTGGGTAGTAGAGCCCCAAGCACAAATACCATAGTTGAGATATGGATAGATAAGGGAGTAATAGAGTGTCACCAGGGCAGGGCGTGGTACATAATATCTGATCTTAGAAAGAATGCCCACAGTTTTTGAAACTTTTTTTTATATGTTTAGTATGTGTCCCTGGAAATTCAGCTTGTGGTCAATGAGAATGCCAAGGAATTTGCCATCTAATTTGTTACAAATTTGGGTATTGTTTATTTTGAGATTTATTTGATTAGAGGATTTATTGCCAAACAGAATATAGAAAGTTTTGTCAATGTTAAGGGTGAGTTTGTTGGCAGTTAGCCACAGATGGACTTTATTTAGCTCAGTATTTACTGTGGCATTTAGAGCAAGGGGGTCAGGACTAGAGTAAATGAAGGTTGTGTCGTCAGCAAATAGAATTGGTTTGAGGTGTTGGGAGGCATTTGGAAGGTCATTAATGTAGATGAGAAAGAGGAGAGGGCCAAGTATGCTGCCCTGGGGAACACCAATGTTGATGGGTAGGGTGGGAGAAATTGTATTATTCACAGAAACAAATTGGAGCCTGTCAGTAAGGTAGAATTTGAGGTATTGTAGGGAGTGTCCTCTGACTCCATAATGATGTAATTTAAGAAGGTTTTGGTGGTTGACAGTATCAAAAGCTTTACGCAGGTCCACAAATAACCCAACAGGGAACTCATTTTTATCAAGAGCTGTATGAATCGAGTTAAGCATACTAATAAGTGCATCGTTAGTGCTTTTTTTGGGTCTGAAGCCATATTGGCAAGGGCTAAGTATATTGAGTTTGGCTAGATATGAGTAAAGCTGCTTATAGATTAGTTTTTCAAAAATTTTTGACAAGTTTGGCAGGATTGATATAGGTCTGTAGTTGTTAACATCTGTGAGATCACCACATTTGTGGACAGGCGTTACTCTCGCTTTTTTTAGAATATCTGGAAAGGTTTGGAGTTCAAGTGACTTGTTGAAGAGCAAAGCAATAGCAGGGGCTAAAGATCTGGAGGCTTTTTTGTAAATTAAACTTGGTATCTCCTCAAGGGCACCAGACTTGGTTTTAAGGGAAAGGATTATCTCTTTGACGTCAGTGGAATTAATAGGCTTTAGGTACAGAGACTGTGGATAGTTACCTGTAAGATAGTCCTTAATGTCAGTACTGGAAGATGGAATATCATTTGCAAGGGATGAACCAATGGAAGAGAAGAACCTATTGAACTCAATAGCAGAATCAGAGGCTGAAAGCTGACCATCGTTATTAGACAGGAGAGTCGGTTTGTTATTTAAAGACTTCTTTGATCCCAATATTTGTGAAATTGTTCTCCAAGTTTGTTTAATGTTGCTCTTTATTTGGGTAAATTTATCTTCGTAGTATTTAGTTTTGGCTAGTCTAATTATCTTAGATAGCAATAATGAGTAATTCTTTGAGATTTCTTTGGAGACAATTCCTAACCTATACTTCTTCTCAAGGTCATGTTTTTTTATTAATAGATTTAAGTATTCCCTTTGTAAGCCAGGGATTGTTAAGCCTTTTGGTTGTGACTTGTTTTGTAAGCATAGGACAGTGGGTATTATAAAGGCTAAGAGTTTTTTGAAGAAAAGATTGCACTGCTAGATTGATGTCCTCTATGTTACCTAACTCGGACTCCCAGTTGACATTATCAGCAGCAGTTATAAAATTGTCTATAGCAGTTTCATTGTGTAGTCTAAAACGTATGTCTCTTGACTCAAGAGGTGGTTTGCTAATGTTAGTTAAGAGAAATGTGGGGTAATGATCTGTAGTGCTATCGGTGATTATACCTGAAGTAAGCGGAGAGGTTATGTTTGTCCAGATGTGATCTAGAGTCGTGGCAGTGCTATCAGTGATTCTAGTAGGTCTAGTGATTAAGGGTATGAGGAAGCAGGAATTCATACAGTTGAGGAAGCTAACAGCAGTAGGGTGTTCTGGCTCGCAGAGGTCAATATTAAAGAGCTGTCAATACTGTCACTATGGCGGTGTGTTCACTCACAGGATGAGTCCCGCTGCCCAATACTGTCACTATGGTGGTGTGTTCACTCACAGGATGAGTCCCGTTGCCCAATACTGTCACTATGGCGGTGTGTTCACTCACAGGATGAGTCCCGTTGCCCAATACTGTCACTATGGCGGTGTGTTCACTCACAGGATGAGTCCCGCTGCCCAATACTGTCACTATGGCGGTGTGTCCACTCACAGGATGAGTCCCGCTGCCCAATAAACTCGCCCCTCGGGGCAAAACATAATCTTACTGACTGAACAACTATTAGGGTCAACCATATCTACTGCACTTCTCAAATTGTTATGATAATGTTGGATACGTTTCAGGAGTCGATGTTGTGGTGTGTGAGCGAGTCAGTGGTGTGGTTCGTGGTGAGACGCTTCACCAGGCGGAAGGTGCTGCCCAACACCCGCCAACTCTCTCACCAGCTCAACCTCGGCAAGCTCAACCTCCGCTCTCCTGACCTCAAGAAGATGTCTTGATGAACCACAAATGTTATTCTCATTAAACTGTGATTTTATTGTTTAAAATTGAATAAAAGCTTGCATAAAAGCATGTGTGTGTGTGTGTGTTTACTATTTGTGCCTGCAGGATCGAGCTATTAGCTCTTGGGCTCCGCCTTTATAACCGTTGGTTGTCTAATGTACTGACTCCCGACCTAATTTTCTTCTGCTTGTCTGTTATAGATACTTTTCTCACGCACATTCCTTGGATGCTGTCCATAGCAGCTGTAGTTACTAGGTACCTATTTACTGCTGGGTGAACAGGAGCATTAGCTGAAACAAACTCTGCCCTTTTGTTTCTGCCTCGGCTTGGAATCGAACCTGGGACCTTCGGGCTATGACTCCCGAGCGCTGTCCGTTCGGTCACGAAGACTTATAGTGTGTGTGTGTGTGTGTACTCACCTAATTGTACTCACCTAATTGTGCTTGCGGGGGTTGAGCTTTGGCTCTTTGGTCCCGCCTCTCAACTGTCAATCAACTGGTGTACAGATTCCTGAGCCTACTGGGCTCTATCATACCTACATTTGAAACTGTGTATGGAGTCAGCCTCCACCACATCACTTCCTAGTGCATTCCATTTATTAACTACTCTGACACTGAAAAAATTCTTTCTAACGTCTCTGTGGCTCATCTGGGTACTAAGTTTCCACCTGTGTCCCCTTGTTCGTGTCCCACCCGTGCTGAAGAGTTTGTCTTTGTCCACCCTGTCAATTCCCCTGAGAATTTTGTAGGTGGTTATCATGTCTCCCCTTACTCTTCTGTTTTCCAGGGATGTGAGGTTCAGCTCCTTTAGCCTTTCCTCGTAGCTCAATCCTCTCAGTTCCGGGACGAGCCTGGTGGCATACCGCTGAATGTGTGTGTGTGTGTGTGTGTGTGTGTGTGTGTGTGTGTGTGTGTGTGTGTGTGTGTGTGTGTGTGTGTGTGTGTGTGTGTTCGTACTCGCCTAATTGTAATTGTATCGGTTAGGTTTTGGCTCTTTGGTCCCGCCTCTCAACTGTGAATCAACTGGTGTACAGGTTCCTGAGCCTACTGGGCTCTATCATATCTACATTTGAAACTGTGTATGGAGTCAGCCTCCACCACATCACTGCCTAATGCATTCCATTTACTAACTACTCTGACACTGAAAAAAATTGTTTCTAATATCTCTGGCTCATTTGGATATTCAGTTTCCACCTGTGTTCCCTTGTGCGTGTACCACCAGTGATAAATAATCATTCTTTATCTACTCTGTGAATTCCCTTGAGTATTTTGTATGTGGTAATCATGTGTGTGTGTGTAATTACTTGAGTGTTGTTACAGGATGAGAGCTACGCTCGTGGTGTCCCGTCTTCCCAGTACTCTTTGTCGTATAACGCTTTGAAACTACTGACGGTCTTGGCCTCCCACACCATTTTCTCACTTAACTTGTTCCAACGGTCTACCACTCTGTTTGCAAAAGAAAACTTTCTAATATTTTTTTTCGGCACCTTTGTTTCCTTAGCTGAAATCCGTGTCCTCTTGTTAGTGATGTTGCTGGTTTCAGGAATTCCTCCTTGTCAATTTGGTTGATTCCTGTTAAAATTTTGTATGAGGTGATCATATCACCTCTTTTTCTTCTATCTTCTAGTTTAGGTATGTTTAATGTTTATAGTCTCTCCTCGTAACTCTTGTCTTTCAGTTCTGGAAGCCATTTTGTAACATGCTGCTGCACTTTTTCCAGTTTCTTTATGTGCTTCTTAAGATATAGGCACCATACAACTGCTGCATATTCCAGTTTTGGTCTCATAAAAATCATGAACAGTTTCTTTAGTATTTCATCATCCATATAATTAAAAGCAAGTCTGAAGTTGAAAGCGACGCATACGCTCCTCTCACAATGCTCTTTATGTGTTACACACAGAAATCACAATAGGGTGATGCATCAAATGAACCAATCCACAAGGGTCATAATGAGGGTTCGAACCTACATCAAAGAGGATCCCAGACGCGCCTTAATCGACTGTGCCACTACACGGTCAAAAGAATTTCAACTGGGAGTTCATCTGCCCTCACACGGATCCCGCAGTCTCTCCGGGACTCAAACTAGGGTTTTACACAATTCCCCCATGCACCCGAGTTCTGTCAATAAGCTGTTCTACCTCTTCGCCCTTACTTCATTACACATTCTTTTGACCGTGTCATGGCACAGTCGATTAAAGTGCATCTGGGATCCTCTCGGACATAGATTCGAACCCTCATCACGGCCATTGTGGATTTGTTCTTTTATTTGTTCGTCTGGCGACAGCTTACTATCCAATACCTCCCCTAGGTCTCATTCTTTACTTCTGTAATTCCTTTTCACATAATTTGTAAGTTGTGTGTGTGTGTGTGTGGTTTAATTTCTCCGAATCCACATTCCTTAGCATGGCATTTATCCACATTGACCCCCTCCCTCTCTGGCCCGTTGTTGTCGTGAGGGGGCTTGGTGGGTGGCTGCTGGAATGTGAGTGTTGCACATCGCAGTGTGATTCCTTCCCGAGTTTCGGACAAGGAACTCGGCAGTCATACTATAGAATTGATCCTATGAAGTATGATCATGTCGCTCCATGCAACAGTCCTCTGTCCTTTTGTAGCCTTATGCTCCTGCTGCTGTCTTTGTGAATTGTGCCAGATAACTTTTCCTTTTCCTTATGTTTCGTTTTTCTCCTCCCTCTTCTCCTTTCTCATTCTCATTTCCAGCTGACCTTTTGCCTGTTTTGATTATTCTTTTGGCCTTCTATTTTGACACCAGGGTGTTTGGGGAGGCATACTCTTGCACCCGTAGAACTGTGGTACCCGACGTCGCGAGCGAGGGGACGCTTTAATTGTCAATCCTCCTCTCATCATTGAACCTGATCTCGATGGACTGACGGTTCTAAAGGTGACGTTTGTGGGGCATATACTCAAGACGCACCCCTATGGGGCCCCGGCAAGATCGGCTACATGTCTCTTGTTGGGTGCCCTTTCCTCTAATTGAGGCTCCGTGGTTGGTGTGGGGGCACATTCGTGAATGAAAGTAGTCTTTCCTCTCATCTTTATGTCCAATTCTGTTCCTCTTGTACCTTCTCAGGCTCGTGGGGTGGGCGACCAAGCCCCCGAGTCGGACTGTGTTGGAAGACCGGGCTCTGTAGCCCCCACTGCATTGGGTCCTGACCTTGCTCCTTCTTTGACCCTCCTGACTACTTCCCTTGGCTCTCCTCCCTCCTCTGTGGTTGGGTCGAGCTACAAGCCCCCAGTGGTGACCACCTCGTCCCCTGGCAAGGCTCAGTCTCTCATTGTGACTACTGCGCCTTTTAACCTCTCTCTCTCTGGGGGTTCTCAACGCCGTCCATGTCACGACTGCACTCACTTGATCCCTTCCCGTACTGATGCGTACAAAGCCTTGCTTGGTCCCGCTTCGTGGGCCAAATACTTTGATCTCCTCCCTCTGGATTCTCCTCCCACCTGATGATTTCTCCCTCCATAGGCACCTTGTTGACTCCGTAGATACCTCTGTTACTTTCAACCCCACCCTTCTCGGTACATGTGTCATTGCTACTCCTTCTCAGGATGCAGCCACCCACTTGGCCGCCTTATCCTGCCATGGCGAGACACCTGTTCGGGTCTCCAAGAATGCTCGGTTGAATGCCAGTGTTGGCACTGTTCTCCTCCCACTCCATGTTGCAATCGGTGTTAGGAATCTACAGGACTGCCACGGCATATTCTCGAAGCCCAGCGCCATTCTGTCCTCCAGGTAGACACGTTTACTCGTCCCCCTCGTGGTCGTCGCCGTCAGCCCCTTCGGGTTGTAAAGATTACTTTTGATGGTAGGACCCTTCCACCCTCTGTCATTCTTGCTAGTGCCAGGTGCTCTGTCCAGGAGTACATTCCTTCTCCTTGGCTCTGTAATAAGTGCTGAAGGTTTGGACATGGTGTCTTCCGATGCTCCAGTACCGTCTCTCTCTATCTGTCCCTTGTGTGGGAAGGTCACTTTAAGTCGGAGTGCACTTCTCCTCGAGCTCACTACCTCAATTGCGGTGAGGACCACCCTACCTGCTCCCGCGCATGTGTCCATTACAAACATGAGGCAGCCGTCCTCACCTTGAAGCACCGGGCATATTTGTCTTTTCCTAAGGCAAGGCGCCAAGTTCGCCGTCTCCCCCCTTTCGCTAGTGTCTCTTATGCTCGTGTGTTGTGCTCTTCCTCTCCTCGTCCTTTCCACCTTCCTTAGTCTCACAACCGTTTCCAGGCCTTAGACCCAGATGCGCCCTTCATCACCTCCTCTGTTCCTTTAAGTTCTGTCCCGAAAGGTCCCCCCCCCCTCGTGGTTCTCTGTCTGGGGTTCCCCCTTGTTTCTACCCAGTCTGTCTTGTCTCCTGTGTCTTTTTCCTCGTCTACCTCCGATCCTCCTTGCCATCCTTCTCCTCCATTTCTATGCTCTCCACGCCGCCTGTCAGTGCGGGCTGATGTCCATCACTCTCCCAACGGCCGTCGTGTTTGCTCTCGTTCTGTTTCTCTTGTTGAGACACTAGAATCTGTTGCCCAGTACATTGTTGCTGGGACGCCTGCCTCTTTGAGTCAAGAAGCGTAAGCCTGGCTCCTCTCCTTCCTCCTCCTCGGCGGGTAAGAAGGCTTTGCTTTCTTACTCGCCCCCTACCTTTGACTCTCTCTCGCTCCATCCCCTCCCGTATCGGTGGTTCTGCCCCCTGTTCCTGCTATGGAGGTCTCGTTGGCCCCCGCTTCCCTTGCTGAGGTGCACTCCCTGGTTTCTGCCCCTCCTGCTGCTGTCCTTGACCCTCGGTTGTCCCCCCTCTTTCCCCTCCGGACCCTGCTCGTCCACCCATGGTCGTTCCTCCAGCTCCCTTCCTTCCTTCTTCACTCGGTTTACCCTTGCCCCCTAACCCTGATTTCGTTGACCCAGACCCTGATCCTGTGCTTCTTTAACGTACTGTGTTCCCTTTTCGCCTTTGTTTCTTCGTTGTTCTCTGTTGCTGCCCTTTCTCTTCTTGTCGATGTCTATTCTTCAATGGAACATTCGTGGTTATTACACCAATTTCCTTGAACTCCAACTTCTGCGTTCACACTTTTCGCCCCTTTGTGTCTGTCTCCAGGAGCCGATGCTTGGTGCTCGTCCTGGTCGCTTTCTTGGTTATTCCTTTCTCTCCCCCCCCCCCCTTCCCCCAGCTGTTGCTGGGGCTCCTAACTCTTCTGCTCTCTTGATTTGCTCTGATGTTCCCTTTGTCCCCCTTACTTTTTCCTTCGCCTCTTCATTGTTCTGCTGCTCGTATCTTTGTGAGGAAATGGTACACAGTTTGTTCCATTTATCTTCCCCCAAGTGTCCTGCTTTCTCTTCCTGAT